TTCTACGCAGCAGCTCGTGCATCAGGAAAATGCCTAAATGACTACCTGCTCGACGGCCCCGACTTGTTATGGAACTTACCCGGTATATTATTTCGGTTTCGGAAAAACGAAATAGCTGTGTCCGCGGATATTCGCAAGATGTTTTTACGCGTAAAGATCGACCGCCGCGACCAACTCGGGCAACTGTTTCTGTGGCGAGGTAATGCGCGTACGAGTCCACCTCGAGAATATGTGATGACGTCAATGATTTTTGGAGCAAGGAGTTCACCTTTCCTTGCATATAGCGTTAGGGATTATAACGCGCGCGCGCACGCCGAGATGCATCCGCGAGCTCTTAACGTGAACAATCATTATGTGGACGATTACCTGGATAGTTAAAGGATAAACCAGAGGAGTTGCTGGCACGAAAGCCCAAGGAGGTGGAAGCGATACACGACAGCCCAGGATGGACCCTAGGCTTATTATGGATGACCGAAGAGGACGCACTAACATTTAATACGTCCATGAATAGGGTGCCGTACGAAGTGAAGATGCTCCATCGTCCACCGACCAAGCGCTCCATCGTCCACCGACCAAGGAGGCGATGAGCGCAGTTATGTCAGTTTTTAACCCGCTCGGACTACTCAGCTACCTCCCCATCACAGCGAATATTCTGCTGCAGGACTTCTGGCTGATGAAGATGGTTGAATAGGTCGACGAAATACCCGAGGAGGCAGCAGATGAATTCCAAAAGTGGCTGGTAGTCGTCTACGAAGTATCACAGCTGCGACTTCCGCGATGCTATGCTCCTACGGGGGAAGTAGTGGATAGAAAATTTCACGTCTTTAATGACGCAAGTGAACGCGCGTACGCATCCGCGGCATATTGGCCTTTCCGTTATCGCGACGGTACGGTTAGGGTCACGTTAGTAGCGGCCAAGGCGGAAGTCGCCCTGATTAAGACTCAAAGTACCGAGTCGTGGAATTCGTGCAGGATGAACACAGAGTGAGAGGAGATAAGGTCGTATACTGGATAGACACTACGGCGCTCCACTGGGTCAGAAATGACAGCGCGTTACACTCCATACGTTGTACACAGACTCGAGGAAATAGCAGAGAAGACTTCACCCGATCAGTGGAGATGGATTCCAACTGCACAGAACATAGCAGACCAGGCGACGCGCATAATCATCGCAACCAACCATCCTTGTTTGCAACAAATGGTTCACCGGTCCGTCATTTCTTTATAAAGAAGAGCAGACAGCAACCGGAAGAAAGGGCAGAAGAGGACAATATAGAGGAAATTGTGGCATATCACAGCGAGTTAAAGGACGCACCACACTTGCCAGACATAAGGAGATTTTCTTCCTGCGAGAAGCTGATCATCAGTTTGTAGAGATTATGCGAGGACGGGCTCAAGAACTAACCCTTCGGAAGGCAGAGCGGCTGTGGATAGCATGCAGTCAGCACTGCCTTACCAGCCCTGACGACATTAACTGACTCTGCCAGAATAGGAACCTGGTCAACGGTAGCACCCTGAGGATGCTCGACCCCATAATGGAAGCTGGTATTCTAAGAGCAAGGGGAAGGATAAATGCAGCCAATGTAGACGGCCAAATGAAGCGACCAGTCGTCCTAGAAGGTCGACACCAATTTGTGAAGCTGCTGATAGAGAGGGCAGACCAGGACGCAAGCCATGTCAAAAGAGAGAGTGGTCAACGACCTGCGGATGAAGTACCACATTACCCGGCTACGACCAACTGTGAGAGAAATAGAGAAAAGATGTCCGTGCTGTCGAGTACGTAAGGCTGCACCACGGCCAGCGGTCATAGGGGATTTACCACCCGAAAGATTAGGGGCGTTAGCGGGACCGTTTACGTACACCGGGATATTTATGTGTTTGACGACGCGCGTGGTACATGTAGAAATAATACATAGCTTAACCACGGACTCGGAAATCGTGGCGTTAAGGTGCATGGCGGCTAGGTGCGGGTGGCCTAGGGTAATATATTCCACCACATTCCACAATGGCACCAACTTCCACGGAGCAGACACCGGACTACGACTGGCCATGGAGGAATGGAGACCACTGCTTAAGGTAGAAGCTCCAGCGTGACCCGCGAAATTCAAATTTTCTTGCGTATTTTGGAATTTGCAGGTCAGGGTTAGGTTTTATATTTAATAAAATATGATTCGCGACCGTAGCGATTATGTGTTTACAGAATTATTATCATTAAAATCACCAATACAATCCTGTAAGTTCATATTAGCCCTTAGCGAATAAAAGAGGGGCATCTGGCCGCTGGGCGTTATTCGATTCTAAACCGACAGAGAAGAAAGAAGACATATATATTAATTAGTAGTACTGTAAATAGTAATTAGTATTGTAAATAGTTGAATAAATCGTTTATTAGTGCCTTTTCTTTCTATTGAACGGTTAAATTTACATACAGTCCACTTAGTCTCAGTTATCGAAGTAATTAAGTAAATCAGTAAATAAATCAATAAAGAAATCTTACAGTCCACTTTCTCTGTTTCTTTCAGTATGTCTGATATGTAAAATGATCTTTTACAGATACGAAAGCTTAATCCACAATGCTACCCACATTATTATACCACTAATAAATCAGAAAGTGGTCACATGCAAGGAATGCGGGTTTTGTTTCACATCACAAAATGACCTCCAACATCACATTCAAATAAAACATTCAAATATACCATTACCACATTGTACTAATGCAATTGACCATATAAATTTAAAAGAAAGGAAAAGAAAATCTAAATCAAAAATGGAAAGTATTAAAAATAGAATACGATTTGAAGATGACGAAGAATTTGAAAACATCAACGAGCTCTTAGACGACTTAACTACGGAATGCAAAGTAGCTTTAGACATAACTGATCAGCCAATTTTAAACAAAGCTATTGAAGCTAGCAAATGTAATATTAAAATCTTAACAATTGTCGATCTGTCTAACGACACGGATGTGATAGAAAATAATGTAATGTATAAAAACAAATATGTATTTGGAAGGTACAGTGCGGTGGCCCCCGACGGCTTTGCCAATGAGGATAAGTCTTATATTAATTCACATAGTAAAACCAATGAGGTGAAACTAGAATTAGATAAAGCATCTAATGAGAAGAAATTAAAGGAAGTAAACAAATTGGAGGATGTCGAGAAATATTACGAAAGTGTTCATTATGATGTTTTGAGGGAACCTCAAAATGTTAGATGCAAGAGATGCAATCAAATGTTTCCAGACAGGTAAGAACTCCACTACCACATATCATCCCGTGCCGTCTGTCTCCTCTAACGGAACCCGTTAGAGGAGACAGAGGGAAATGAACCTAGGGGAAAGGTAAAATAATAAAAAGGTGTGGTTGGCAACTCAACTGCCAAGCCTAGCAATATATACACACATATTATATAAGCATATCACTCAGTGGTACTCCACTGAGTAGACAGTGTAGACATGTGTAGTAGTGACAAACTTCTATTTGGCATAATCCTCACATTCCTCTTTTCTTTCTTTCATATTCATATATATATACGCATACGTGCTTCTGTTAAGATTTTATATTACAGAATAAGTGACAATCGAGCAAAAAGTCCACCTGATGGTAAGTGAATACTTTGACCTCTATATTCTCCTCGATTAGGAATTAATATGCACTACCTCTGAGGCTTAGATAGAATGCCTAGTTTCCAGTAAAAAAAGGGTGTCCAGTTATCTTTTTTTTTTTTTTTTATAGGATCGGGTGACAAACGAGCACACAGCCCACCTGATGGTAAGTGGTTACTGTGACCCATAGACATCTACATCTATCCTCAATAAAGACTCAAGATGCAGATGCGTTGTCACCCGTGAGGACTAAGATGGAATGCCTCTTTGCCAGTAAAAAGGGTCTCCGGTTCTCTACACTCACCATACGAAACACAGCAGCGTTAAGCTGCTATTTTACGCTGGTTTTCTGTGAGAGCGTGGTCCTTCCCCGTTCGAGCCGACCCATTCGTGCTACAACCATAATATAGCTGCAGCATGGCTCTACCACGTAGAAAAATCTACACTCGCCATAGGAAACAGCAGCATTAAGCTGCTATTTTATGCTGATATACTATGAGTTACTTTTAATTTGGCCCCTATTCAATATGTCGCAAAGTTGGTTAATAAACTTCTTTCTAAAGCATCCCTTTCCGATTGTTACTCCCTTCTGCGGCATAAATTTATTTTATCACCCTTCCCTCATTCGTTCTTCCTACTTGTCTAAACCACCAAAGCATTATTTTCTTAATTCTGGTTACAACAATATTATACAGGGTTATTTTTCAAAGTGTATCCAAATTTATTTCAGTTCAAACATAATAATCTGATATATAGCGATTTGGCAGTATTTGAAAATACGGGTAAATAAGGCTTCTACTTTTATTTGAAACTATCCCAAATAGAATGTGATTTATGAGCAACAACTACAGCGTACGCGCGCCCTGTGTTGTGCCACACAGTTTTTGCCTACTATTTACGTTCTTAGTGACACGCTCACTAGGTACTAATGATTAAGTGATAACTACACGACGCGAATTATGATACCAGTTTTTCCTTCATACTTTTAACGGACGTAGGATCATCATAATAAATAAAATAAAACAAATAAAACATAATATCAACGACGTACCCGATGACTGTCATTTTTTTATATGATAATGGTGACAAACGAGCACATACTTCACCTGATGGTAAGTGGTTGCTGTGGCCCATAGACATCTACATCTATCCTCGATTACGAATCAAAATGCAAATGCGTTGTCACCCGTGTGGACTAAGATGGAATGCCTCCTTTCCAGTAAAAATGGTCTCCGGTTCTCTCTACACTCACCAAACGAAACACGCAAGCAGCGTTAAGCAGTTATTTTACGCTGGTATTCTGTGAGAGCGTGGCCCTTCCCCGACCGAGCCGACCCATTCGTGCTACAACTATACTACTACGAGTATAAACCTGCAACATGGCTCTACCACGTACGAATTACGTATTTAAAAAAATTGAATTATCTATTTCCAAGTAAATTACGCTAGTAGTCCCAATAACTTATTTATGGTATCCTCAAAATGGAATGCATTTCTCTTTATGTCAATACCTCCTAACACAATTCTTAGAGTCAACTCTATTATAATTCTTAATGACTGCATTTCTATAGCATTAATTTTAATTTCATGCTTCTTCTGCCACACGCAACTTTCACTACCATACATTAAAAATAGAATAGAATATTTTTTATGCAATATACTAGTCATTTAAGTTTCACCACTGGTTCGGTAAGCTAGGTACTAAAACATCATTATGAATTACCATTGAAGATTGAAGGGCCACAATCACAATGTGTCTTGCAAGTGTGGCATATATTCCCCCTCGAGACAATAAATGGAGGAGGCATCAGACATGGACTTTGTGCGCTTTTTAAAGTCTGTAATAATAATGATGATGAAGGTTTTAATTAGCTAGTTGTTTTTTTAAAGTTCAAAACATTTTCGGGATCGAGATTTGAATGGATCAAAACTAGTTTATTTGCAGAGAAGTTTATTTAAAATTCTCTTGATCTTAGACGCCAATTTGAACTAGGGCTTATCATATTGTCAGCCATCTTTTATCAACTGTAGATACTTACTCCTTTGCTGTATTGACGATACAAAGTTTTACGTACAGAAATTTTTATTTTTAGGTCTGAAACATATGTAAATTAAATTTGTGACATGTGGTGACGATGTAAGGAATACATCATCCCATTTTCTGTTGTAAGAATCTTATGAGGTGACTATGGGATAAGGAAATATCTTAATATGACATTAATTTGGCCCATATTCAATTAAAACTTTCTGAAATATGTTGGCAATCAACTCATCAAACCCAAAAATTATTTATATTTTTGTACTAATGTTGATTTTTTTATAGGATAAGGGTGACAAACGAGCACACAGTCCACCTGATGGTAAGTGATTACTGTGGCCTATAGACATCTACATCTATCTTCGATTACGAATCAAAATGCAGATGCGTTGTCACACGTGAGGACTAAGATGGAATGCGTCGTTTCTAGTAAGAAGGGTCTCCGGTTCTCTACACTCATCATACGAAGCACAGCAGCGTTAAATTGCTATTCTTTTATTCTATTACGCTGGTATTCTGTGAGAGTGCGGTCCTTCCCCGATCGAGCCGACCCATTCGTGCTACAACCATAATATAGCTGCAGCATGGCTCTACCACGTATCAACTAATGTTGATATCGGTGCAAGACCCATTTTTTTTTAATAGGAATATATTTTTCAGATACAGCCTCATAATACACGAAGCGTCACATATAATCTTTAACACGAGGTTGCCTCTCCTCTGCACTACCTGTGACAGATACATTGCCGGGACCCGGAAGAATCTCAAACACCACATCCAGACTCATCATTCGGACTATGTGAAAAAGAAAACCTTTAGGCAAAAGTGCCTGGAATGTGGACTCTATTACATTAGTTACCTTTCACACGTAGATAATTACCACAGATGCGAACAGAAAGAAGTGTTGAACTATAAATATGAGAAGATTATGGAAATTTGCGATTTATGTTACAAGTTCCTCAAATCCGGAACGAATCGCTACTATATAAGAATTGGCAGCGTTAGCAAATTAGGTCATAGGAAAAAGTGCAATGTATGTATGAGGAAGTTTTTCGAACTGAACAAAGTGAGGAAGACGCAGATAAAAATTAATTACGGTTTAGAGAAAAAGCGGAATATAATAGATAATAAGAGGTTGACTAATAACCAGAGACTAAAAAATATACAGATGCGATTGAAAAATATAAATAAGTTGAGAAAATTTTAGAGGTTTTGCTGTTTTATTACTATTACTGGTGGTCGCCAAGTGGTCGTAATTAGACCAAAGTAATTCATGAAATTTTTAAGTTTGTATATTTTGTATAAGCTAAGCTATTAAGCTATTAACTGATCAAACACTTTCAACTGCACAATAATATGTAAAAAAAAGTGTATTTAATATACTTTTCACATATACAAAATATAGAATATCGTCACCTTAATACGCATTCCTTGTAACTCCATATATAGGCGGAAACGACATTTTGATACCATTGGATGTGTAAGGACGAGAGAAATGAAACGCTTGAGTGTTGACGTAAGACTGCCTGTAATTACGTTATTAATAAGTTTATATATAAGATTATACCCAAACGTACGTATAGGTACTAGGTAGATACTACACCTTCCTTCCCAAAGAAAAAAGAAATGAATATGTGCATTTCTTTTTTTTGTTTTATAATACTAACATTTAAAATTACACAATAATTATATTCTAATTTTTAAAATGTAAACATGGGTAAAAGCATAAACAAATAGTTATAAAATATTTAGATTAATATGATTACAATTGGTATTATAATACTTAATATTAAGGTAAAGTAATAATAATTAATAAAACTTAATACACTAATTTATTATAATTATAATCGATTAAGTACACAATGTCTGTAATGTATTACTTATGAACTATAATATTATTACAATATTATATATGTAATATTATAATAAATTTACTACATTTATTTTAAGGATAATACAACTTAGTTCGGTTTTTGTGAACAATGTAATTTTTGCCATTTTTTAGTATTTCAACATTCGGTGAGCAATCTCTAATTACTAAATATGGACCTGAATAAATGGCGCTGAGTTTGTTACCAGTTTCTTCTTTAATTAATATCAAATCATTAATTTTATAAGTTATAGCGTTCATTTTACAATCATATTTGGATTTCCTAACAATTTTACTATTGATTAAATTTTCTCTTGCTTCCTTTTGGGAGGTTTGTAGGCGATATTTTAACTCTAACGGATAATCTTCGTAATTATAGAGGGGTTCTACGGTTTTAGTTAAATTACTGGGTAAATTACATTTTTTGCCATAAACTAACTCGAATGGGGTATACTTAGTTTCGCGGTGAACGGAAGTATTATATGAAAAGCACCAAAAAGGTATCCAAGAACTCCAAGATTCGGGGTGATTGTCTGTCTGTATACGTAAAAATGCTGCTAAACTCTTGTGGGAATTTTCAAGTGCACCAATACTCTCGTGATGGTAGGCTGTGGAATTTAATTTATTAATTTTTAATAAACTACATACCTCTTTCATAACTGTGGACATAAACTCGGTACCTCGATCTGTGGCTATCTCCTTCGGTATTCCATGGCGAAGAATGAAATTGTTTACAAAAGCCTGTGCAACTTCTACAGAACTCTTAGAAACTAACGGATATGCCTCTACGTATTTAGACATCTCACATTGGAGTGTTAATATATATGAATAATTATAACTATCTCTATCTAGAGGTCCTACGATATCTAAGAAAATTTTCTCGAAGGGAGTTTGAGCTGTAGACGTTACAGTCATAGGCTCCCTAACGGAAACGGAATGCTTTTGTTTCTGGCATTTGTCGCACCATCTTACAAATGCTGTTATGTCTCTTTCAATACCTGGCCAAAAGTAATATTTTTTAATGTTATTCAACATCCTCTTGATACCCGCGTGGCCACTAGTGGGGAGGAGATGAAAGTCATTCAATATCACTCTTTGGTCGTCTTTGTCATAGATTCTTTCAATTTCTTTTAAAATAATAATTCTTGGTCCGGACCAATTTTTAATACTCTTAATCTCATTTAATACTTGCTCTATAAATTTATCATTTTCTTTACATTTCATGAAGTATACTTCGTTAATATTTATTTTCTTACAAAAATCAGACAGCTCCCTCACAAATTCGCCTCGCGATAATTGTGATCGGATAGCTGGATTTATATAAATAGTCATTTTCTAAATATTTGTGTCATTTCTTTCACGTACACGGCTCGCGTACATACATGATCAAGACAATGACCAATATCACTTTATTCAACTCTTTACATTTATAGCATTTCAGCTCATATAATTTATTAATTAATTGTACCATAACTTTCACGTACACGACTCGCGTAAATACATGGTCAAGATAATGAACAATCTTCCTATACAGTTATTAATAAAGTCACATTTCTTTAAACAATTCATTAAAAATCATTTCTTATTTCATCGAATCCGAACAACTTTAAAAAATAATCGGTTATTAGGTTTTCCAAACCCTCAGCTGATCAGGCCGATTGTATGTGGATATGCTAACCTCCGATAATTTTTCTTTACCTTACTCTCAGACTTACACACTATTTATATTTTTCATTTATAATCACGTTTTCCGTAACTTATCCATAAATTTACTTACGTCTTTTATAAATTATGTCATATTGTCTCATATAATATTTAGTTACATCATTGTCAGTCAGGGATTGAGGCTCACAATATGGGCACAACAAATTTTAAATTAATTACTTAATTGTCTACATAACATAAAGAGTTTCAAAATCGTATTAAGCGAAGTAAATATTTTCATAATCCACACAAGTACGCACTATTTTCCCAGAAAATAATAAATTATAATAGTTAAAAGCTTACGATTTAAAAGTTCAAACAACATAAAACCGAAACCAAATTATTACATTTCATATTAAGATGAACAGAACAAAGAAGTCAATGTTAAGCAACGTAATCATTTTCAATAACAATAACATAATCGCATAACGACAGACAGATCAAAATACAAATTGTAATTCCACTCTTAGCAGCGCAAGCGATTTGATACACCTTTGTTTTAATTAACAAAGTACGTATATGGCAACGTTTGCGATTACATCGTATTATGATCACCTAATTTAAAACGTAACTTATACAATGTTATTATTACATACATAATATGTGGATACAAGTAAAATGATAGTTTTAAATTCCTTATTTACACAGAATTTTAGACATTACTTTTGCTTAGATCGAAAAAGATTGCTAGAAGTATGGTATTTACTGTATCGTTTACAGAAAATAATTTAATAATCACTGTAACACATATCAACTTTACACAACAAAACATTAATTACTTACTTAACTTTTGACATTCAAACGAACAATTTTAATGTTTAATTAGGTTATTATATAACTTTAAAGTCACTGCCTTTATAAAAGAAAAAGAAAACCTAACACTTATTAATACCGAATTGTTTTTAACCATTTTCAAATTGAATACTTACATTTAAATAAAATTTACTATAGAAAAAAAATCACAACGAAAAATATCATCGGTGTTATTTTAACTAAACGAAAAATTAATTTATGAGAAACCATGGTTAAATTAAAAATGTAATCTACTATGTTATTTCAATCGTTTTTGTATTGTATCCTGCACAGTTATAAAAATAATATAAAACAATAAACAATATGTAACTAAACAAAATTTAATATAAAATTGTCTTGTGCCATAATACAAATGCCATAAGTGGCTAAAATGTAAGTGATAAAAATATTGAAAAATCAATTGTATCGTGAATTATCTGATAAATAATTTCAGTTTAAACATACGTGTATTATATATGGAATATTTAATACTTAACTTCAACAAATATTATAGCAAAAAGAATATAAAACAATCTCAAATTGGTAAATAAAGTTTTAAATGGAATTAAAATCACACAGGTGCGAACTGCGAAGTTACCTCTTAAGTATTTCTTCTTTGTTCTTTTCGGCTCAATTTTCACATTCTTCTGGACGAAGCTTGCAAAAGAATAACTGTTTCTTTCATTTTTAAACAAACCTGCCGTTTCTTGAATTTTGTTCTTTGGTAATTATATTTAAAATAAATCACTTTTTATTTTCCTCATTCCTTCTTAGTTGCTTTCATAGTAGGTATACTATTATACATTTAAATTATATTACATGTTCATTATACTTTTTATATTTCAATCAGCTTCTGTAAAATTATTATTGTGGCCTCTTCTTTTATTCATATTCATTTATTTTTCGTCACATCCGGTATAGCGTTCATTCTGTTATAATATAATTTTCTTTTTAAAATGGTCAATCTATGATGATTTCCACTTTTTTTGTATTTTTTTTTTCTCTTTATGTAGGCCCGGCGGTGCGCGTGCTATGTAGGTGTAGCAGCGCACCGCCTGGCAGGGTCGCCATGTAAGGACGAGAGAAATGAAACGCTTGAGTGTTGACGTAAGACTGCCTGTAATTACGTTATTAATAAGTTTATATATAAGATTATACCCAAACGTACGTATAGGTACTAGGTAGATACTACAGATGCATTAAAAACAAGATATTTTTGTTTCAAACCTCTTAAATGCAAGTATAATAAAACCATAGACAATTTATGTCAAGCTAACGCCGTAAATGCACCATCACATATTTTTAAAGCAAACCTCGTAACACAGTTGTTTATCCCTTTCAGACCCACGACGAAACTAAACGAGTTAGTGTTAAAAAAAATAGATATTCTTTATCGTTGGGGATCAGAGAATACAAAAACTGAAGACTCAGTGATACAATGTGTTTTCAGGATTTTTCAGAGGGGCGTACAATTGTATCTACTTGGGCCCTACTTATTCCACGTCACAATTGTGATGGTCGCAATTGTGTCGATGTGGGCCCAACTCATTTCCAGTCACAATTGTGACGGTCACAATTGTTTTGATGTGGGCCATATTTCTAGCCACTAATAATTGTAATTATTTTAAGTTATTGCATTTTTTCAAATTATTCTTATAAATTAAGGTGAATAAAAAGATGTGATGTGTTTATTATGTCATTTATTTTATATTGGCTTAAAAGTTTAATCTTTCTCTAACTTAAAACCAAGTTTAACATAGAATTAAAAAGAAATATTATTATTTTAGTTCAACAAACTTTTGCTTAGCATTAACAATAAACTTTATAATCAAATAAACGAAAATATTTTCTTAACCTTGGCATAATAGGAACAACATTTTTTTGTTAAAATTAAAAGAAAAACATACAGTATCATAACATTATTTTCAGACTTTTCGTTTAACAAGCGTTGTGGAACTTAAAAAAACAATTTTTATCCTTAGTTATACATAAATATACGTCGCATTTCGAACATCTTGCTCGGGTTCTACTGGTGCAATCAGGCAACCTGCATTTGCGAGGAGCTTTCAACGTATCGAACATTGGCCAATGATTGTAGCCATCATATCTTTTGTCAGGTGTCGGCAGTATTGCAGGTTTGTACTCAGAACTAGTTGGTATCGGGGCTAATTCTAAGTCATCGCGAGTCCTTGTTCTAGTCGGTCCACCTAATAAATACTCTACAATGGATATACGAAATGCCAGCAAGTCCATGACATCATTTTTACGCATATTGGCTTTTTGAGCGTCTTCCCGATACTCAAACCAGGAGTTTACGATAGCGTGATCAAAGAGATGAATTATGACCTTTACAGTCCACTTCTTGATTTTGAACCACGTCCTATAGTTTTCAATCATCTGGTCGCACAAGTCTATGCCTCCCATGTTGTTGTTGTAATTGGCGACGATGGAAGGACAAGGAATGTTCTTGTAAGTACGTGTTTGTTTGTCCCATCGACTTACAGTAGTACTCGGTTCAGCTCCGAAGACAAAAAAACACTTTTGTTATCTTTCCACTTGACCGTGCAAAGGTTTTCATTTGGACTACAAACTTCTTCGCAATCTCCTCGTTTCTTCGCTTGATCCTTCTTGAATGTATACCAGTTTTTTTTTAATCGGTTTGCCATTATCGTACCCGTTTCATCGAAATTGCGATTAATTAGTTCTT